CCCCAAAACCCCAAAACCCCAAAACCCCATCGCTCATACAGTCATCTATACATTTGTAAAATATAATAATAATATTCAAGAAAGCATATAATTGAAATAATTCTAGAAGGCTTTAAGTCATATCCAACGAAGACTACAATCAGCCCACTCGATCCCTAGTTCAATGCCATTACTGGTTTGAATGGTTCTGGCAAGTCCAACATCCTTGATGCAATCTGCTTCGTCCTGGGTATATCATCTCTTCAGCATGTGAGAGTCTAGAATCTCTAGGAGCTTATCTACAAGCAAGGCAATGCTGGTGTTTAAAAAGCCATCGTTACTATTAAATTTGACAATAAGAATAAGAAGACTTCACCTTCGATGATGGTTGAAGCTGATGAGATTATTATACAGAGACAGATATTCGATGGCAAGAGCAAGTACATCCTCAATGGAAAGGTAGAAACTGCTGAGAAGATCAAGAATATGTTTATGTCTGTGCAGTTGAATGTCAATAATCCGCATTTCCTAATTATGTAAGGTCGTATCACCCAAGTAGTTAACATGAAGCCTCAGGAATTGCTATCATTGATAGAGGAAGCCAGTGGAACTAGTCTCTATGAAAATAGGAAGCTAGCGTCTCTTAAAACTATTAGCAAAAAGCAGTCCAAGGTTGACGAGCTAACCAATATTCTTATACAAGAGATCAACCCACATCTGGAGAAGTTAAGGAAGGAGAAGGAGTACTACTCTTAGTTTATGCAATATGAATCAGAGAAAGCCATACTTTGGAAGCAAATAGTAGCCTATGAGTTTTATGGCAATGAGAAATAATACCTACTGAAAACTAGTGAGATTATGAGACTGAGAGCTGAGGGAGATGAGTTGCTTAAATTAATTTAGTCTAGGGATTAGGAGATATAGTTCCTAGATAACGAGATACAGCAATCAAAGAGAAATGACATTACACATATCAAAGTCTAATGGGATACTATGCAGAAGGATATGCTCAGACTCGAGAAAGATTTGGTAGATAAGCAGGCAACAGCTAAAAATGTAGAGAAAACACTTAAAGATAACGAGAATGTACAGAAAAAGCTTAACCGTTACATGGAAGAGCTCAAAAGAAACATCGAGAAGAATAAGAAGAGAAGAGATGAGGTGATGACATTAGTACGTAAATACAGAAGAGAATATGACTTGAAGAAGGAATAGCTCAAGTAAGTTATTTAAGGGCTAAGGGATTTGAATGAGGGCAAAGATATAGCAATAGATGAGGGAGTCGGATTAAGAGACCAGATGAATGAGACTAAAAAGAACTTAGATATCACTCTGACTGAGATAAAGCAAGTACAGCAGTCAATAAACAGACTAGACAGAGAGAGGAAGGACCTTACTGAGACTCTAAACAATTTACAGAGTTCAAATGAATAGATCAAGCAGTAGATAAACAGAGTCCAGAGTGAACTCAAAATAAGCTATGAAATACTTCAGTCAAAGCAGTACAACTAAAAAGCAGAGTAGGATAAGATTCACGAAAAAAAGAAACTCGAGGACCAGTTAAAAATGATAAACTCGAAACTTGATGAACTAACCACTGAATTCGGGAACAAGATTGAGCTTAAGTACAATATGCCTGTGCCAGATTTCGATCATAGTCTGGTCAAAGGTAGATTCATTAAGCTTTTCTCGATTAAAGAGGATAGATATGCTTTAGCTCTAGAAGCCATTGCTGGTCAAAGATTGTATGCAATTGTTGTTGAAAACGATGTTGCCTGCAGTGTGCTCATGAAGAACAATGCCTTCTCTAGATATAGAGTAGATTTGATTCCAAATAATAAGATCAAGTTCAAGGAGGTTTAGAAGGATGTAGCAGACTATGTAAAAAATGTGACAAAGGGCAAAGCCAGATTTGCATTAGAACTCATTAAATATAACATGACAATCGAAAACTCAGTAAAATATGTATTTGGGGATGTAATTATATGTGAAGATTCTACTATTGCCAAGAAGTTAGCTTTTGATCCATATGTTAGAATAAAAACTGTAACTCTAGATGGAGATATCTACAACCCTTAAGGACTGTTAGAGGGTGGGTACTACTAACAGTCGAAAGATGGCTCATCACTCAAGAAAATCAAAGAGATTTAGAGACTTGAAGAGGAGAAAAGATATATTTCAAATAAGATATAGGATTTGTCAAACGATCTTTTAACTTTGAAGCAGAAGGCCTTTGAGCATATGTAAAAGAAATCAGAGATAGAGCTGAATGAGCATCAGCTTAAGCTGCTTAAAGAAAGATTGGAACTCGACTAAAAAGATGCTGTTTCTATTAAGCTAAAGAATACTGAGGAGGATCTGGATGAAGGCAGGAAGAAACTAGTGACGTTAGGTGAGTTTGAATAAAAATACAGAGATGAGAATGAGAGACTCAGAAATGAGATCATTTAAATGGAAAGTAAAAAGGATCAGAAGAAGGAGCTATTGGAGGGCATGCTTTAAAATCTCAAGAATGAAATTGAAAGAATCACCCGTGATCTCAAGATCAATCAGAGAGAGGTAGATAAATTGGAATATGAAGGGGAGGAAAATGAAAAAGATATGAAGAGTTCAAAGGATTAGATCCTTAAGGAATGCGCTGAGAAAGAAAAACTTCTCATAGAATAAGAAGACTTGAAGAAGGTGATAGATGATTATACCAAACTGAAAAACGATAAGAGAGAGAAAATGAAGCAGTTGCAACAGGAACAGATTAAAGCAACCTCTAAGATCAAGGAATAAATTGAATAGAAGTAAAAATTAGATAAACTTAAAGAGCATAACAACGCTGAAGTCAAGAAGTTAGACAATAGAATCACAAAGCTGACCATCGAGAACAATGAAATTGAATAGAAGCTGAATACTCTGTAGAATGAAAATCCTTGGATTCTGAATGAGAAGGAGATGTTTGGCAATCCAGACTCAAGTGAGTACAAATTCGGGCCAGACTTCAACATGATTGAGAAGACAAAGAGGTTTTATAAGCTCAAAGATGATACCTTGACCATGAAAAAGCATGTGAACATGCGTGTCGATCTGATGGCTGACTAGGCTGATAAAGACTACACTGAACTTATTAAGAAGAAGGACAAGCTGATGGTGGATAAAGAGAGAATAGAGAAGACAATCAATGAGCTTGACAGTTTGAAGAACGCCACACTATACTAAACATACCAAGAAGTGAATACCAATTTCAGCAAGATATTCAGGACATTGCTGCCAGGTGCAGAAGCTTTACTCGAGATTTAGGATATTAATAATATTCAAGAGGGATTGAAGTTGAAGGTAGCTTTTGGCAGAGATTGGAAAGAGAGTCTGAGTGAGCTCTCTGGTGGGCAAAGGTCTCTTCTTGCTCTTAGCTTTATTTTGGCATTGCTTAAGTATAAGCCTGCACCACTATATATATTAGATGAAATAGATTCTGCTCTAGATCTCAGTCACACTCAAAATGTAGGCAAAATGATCAAAGAACACTTCCCTGAGAGCTAGTTTTTGATAATTTCACTGAAGGAAGGATTGTTCAATCATGCAAATGTGCTATTTAAGGTTGATTTCAATGAGGGCAAATCGAAAATTACAAGATTTTAGTAACAAAAAGCAAGTAAAAAGTGAATTATAACTGAGATAATATAATTGAATTGATTGATTTTTTAAAATCTTAATTATTTATCAGAATTCAAATTATTATTAATCATTGGGGTTTTGGGGTTTTGGGG